AAGGATAAGTTGTTTTTGATAGCTGTATGCAGGTTCGGGGGGTTACGGATTATATGTAATGTATTACGTAATCATGATAAAGAAAAATGGTAACTTGCCTTTTCACTTTCTTTGGTTCTTTCCGTCGTGTTTTTTTTATTCAGTAGATGAACCTATATGTTCATAACATGGTGTGTGTGAGCTTAACTGTATGTATTAAACTAAAGCAGATCATTTTCTGTCAGCTCAGATTTTATTTCTGCATTTTTAAACTGTAGTACGTGCTCATGTGTTTCTTTGTTTGTGTGTAGGCCTGAATATCTTGGTTTCTTCTTTTTAAAGGTCACATTATTCTGTTGTCTTACAAAGTTCACTTAAGTATAATTGCATTGCATTTGATATTGACGTATACTGTAGCTGAACGTGTTACAATGGCCCAAAACATTTCCATTGAGGGAAACGCACTGCACTTCAAAAACAAGCCAGATAAAAAATACACAACTGTGCCAAAACACATGCAAATGAAGAAACGTTTTTTCCGCAAAAGGCTCAGAACACAACAGAAACGGGAACACAAAGTGACGCACACAGCTGGGACCTAGCGCTTGTTGACATTTGGGAATAATAGACCTGGCCAATTGTCATGGTCACTGGAAACCTACCTAAAATGTACGTTTTATCAGCTTAATTGAACTATGATCGCAGGATTCCTTCTGAAATGTCTGCAGGTCTGCTGTAAGCTAGCAAGCTAACAAAGTTAACCTAGTCATTTCAAATATACTGACAAACCAAAGTTGTGAAACAGGCTAACTCTACCAACAGTGAAAGTAATCAGGTTTCTTCACTTTTATATGTTGATACTCAGATAAGGTTACTGATTAATAAATGTTTATAGGTCATTTGTAAAAGTAACGAAATACATTGTTAAAGGAACCCTCCCAACCCAAATCTGTAAGTAAGATATTCTGTGTTTTTCTGGTTTCATTTCAAATACTTTGGTGAGACTTTTACTGCTTCCCACACAAAACCTTTGTAAGAAAATGTTGCTTTATATTCTGCAAGGCTCACATCTGCACTACATTGTAAGGTATACAGAAAGGAAATATGACCTGCCATGCAGTATGTGAGTCATCCTTTACACAGAGATTGAAAGCTTAGCAATAAACATAACATGCTTTAAAACCACACTGCATGATTTCAGTAAGCGACCCTCAGCACATTCCTAACTATTCGGGAACCTCTGCCAAGAGTTTAGCTCTCAAGGCCGGTCAAGAGGGATTCTCCATTCATGTTTTGTGGCTTGTTGTCATGACATCGTACTTCCAATGACAAAAAAACAAGGGACAAATTTAAAGACACTAATTAGACGGAGTAGACATTGAAGGATAAGGGAGAAAAGACCTGCTGGAAGGGTTTACATATTTATGATATTTCACCCCCCCCCCCCCCCTTCTTCTTCCTCCAGAGCCACCAGGGTGGCAGGAGAAGCAAGAAAGGAAACAACTTTATAATGTATTACCATCAGTAATTTAGGCTGAGGGTGAGATGGGTTGATGGAAAGAGTGGGTACAGGACCTGCCCCTACATCCTAAATCACATCCTCAGCTGCAGAGACCCTAATGGGAAATGTGGGACGTCTCTGTCCTTGCTGGTGAGTCACTGGGCTTTTTCTACACAGCAAATAGTGAGTGTTATGACCATGAGATGCAAATATCAATGTCAGGTTGATAAAGTGCTCTACATCATAATTTATTTTACAGGATGTCAGATTCTTTTAATACAGGAATAACAACTATTTTAAAATACATCCTGCTAAATGTTGTATTTCCACTTGCCTTGAACATGACACGTTTACCTTCAAATACCTCTATTGAGAGTCTGTACATGTTCCTCCAGATCTCAAGAGGGATTTGGGAGTTTCACATACAGCTCTATTGATGACATTCCAGATATGACTGACCTGTCCCTGCGTGAGTTCTCGTGACCAGAAAAGACAACTCATGTCGAGCTTATCAGCGAACCATCTTACAATTCCTAAACCCCCCCACTCCTCCATCAGGAGAATCACTTCAAACAGAACGCCATGTGCGCCCTGGGTACATGAAAAAAACCTCCCTGAGTGAAAGCGTAGTGTTGACCGGCTGAGAAAGATGACGCCCCGAGCTGAACTATTGACAACACATGCCGATATTCATGGTTTCTTAAAGGAACGTATAAATTATAGATGTAGTCGGGAGGAAATCTCAAGGATCCCTTAGAAGAGATGAATGTTTCAAGATCACACTAAAAGAGGCACTGCTTGTGCTATCCATTTTGTATTCAAGCTGTCAGTCACACAGCCATTATGCTAGTGAGTGCGGAGGGTGGGGGGGATTACACAGCCTCAAAGATTCTTCAGGAAAGAACTTGTCACTTTGCTGTAGGGATGCCTCATTGGAATGAAGCGCATGAATATAATAAATGACAGTTAGTCTCAACATTGCTACCTCTACACTCTTTGTTCATATCTGAGGTTAAGGCTTCGACGTAACCATACGCCTGGCATGAAGACATGAAGACACATACAAAGACAGAGTACGAGAGGCAGAGACAAGCTAGTTGGACAGGTACAGGGAGACAGGGAGAGTGCATTAGCCTTGTGTACACGCCTCAAAGACCAATATATAATTGTCATGGAGAACAAAATGGCTGCTTGAGCAATGTTATAGGTACAGATCGTGGTTGATAGAAAGTAAGTAGAAGGTCTTTCAGTGTTGGACTTTGACTCTGGAGACAGGCACTTTGTTAAGGTCCGCTGCAACTCTTACTACTTTTAAATCCAGGCTAAATACTTTTCTTTTTGTCGCTGCTTTTAATTGAACTATTCACATCTTAAACTGCACTGTAACTTTTATCCATGTATTTTTTCTTTTAATGTTTATTTTATTATCTTTGCTTTTTAATGACTGTTTTTAAATGCCATTTTCTTAATGTCTTTCATTTTTTGTAAAGCACTTTGAATTGCCTTGTTGAAAGGTGCTATATAAATAAACTTGCCTTGCCTTGCCTTGCCTAAGGTTGGCGAAAGTTCATCACCATTGTCAAAAAAATATATTGTGTCAATATGATGGGTTCAAAGAATCAAAGACTGGAAGCAGTTGAATCCAGTATTATCGTATTTGTAGAGCAACCACCCTGACTTTGTTAAGAAGGGAAACCTATCCCCTTTTATAAATGTTGCACATAATGACATAAGCTGAGCACCAATGCCCCTGTAACAATAGAAGTAGTGGTTGTATGTTCATTGTTGTAGGCCCTCACCACAATACCAACATGATGCCTCAGGTGGTTTCTAAGGAAATAACCAACCCTTTTATTTTCTGGTGAGGATTGTATTGTATTTACTGTAATGAAGTCAGATGATGAAGGTGCTCAAATAGTGTAAACTAAGTGGTGAATAATGAATAGAGAGTCAAGGTTAAGGTGGCTGAACCAAGATGGTAACTCTTACTTAACTACTGCTGCATTTAAGTTACAGGGCTTCAAGCTCAATCTCCCTGTTCTACCTCTCCATCCATCAGCAGAACAATCACCAACGGCGAATGAAGATTAAGTAGCAGATCCCCTCTCTCTGCTCTCGAGGCCAGGCCTGATTTCCCCCTTACTTTGCCAGGAAAAAAGGAAAATACTTTAAAATAGAAGGCCTCAGTGTTTGAGATAATTATTAAAGATTAAAAGCTGAGGGGCAGCCACACAAAGCAACCTCCTGGCCCTCTCCATCCAGCACACACTCATGCAGCCATACAGACACAAATATGGACACACAAACAAGTGCATGCACCGTGTCATAATCAGCTCACACAAGACTGAATATGTGGGATTTTTTTTTCCAGCAAAAGGAAGAGCCACAACAACAAATTAGGCTAGTGAAACCACAAAGAGGAGCCCATAGGCTTCCTGTGAGCTTACATGGCTGTGTAAATGACTTTGATTCATTTTGTCTCATTATTCTCTTCGTATGAGGGCCCTCTTGTGTAAGAAGGGGCAGGGTTTTCATCCATTGCCTATGCAGAATGGGCTTGTACATGGTCATTTTAGAGTGGTCCTGTTAACTGCTGCTGTACAGATCAACACATTATGGCGGCAGGTTGCCCCTGTCTTTGACCTCGACAGTTGTGTTGTGACACACACACAAAAGACAACATGATGTCCTTCAACCAGACATTAAGCACTCTCATCTTGATGCACAGCAGCCCTTTAAACCCAACGATCTTCAAGTATTTTAATGTTTGGAAATTGTTTAAAGTGCACAATTAAATGGTTAAAATAAAACAATTTCTATATGTCCCTGCTGTTGTGATCCTTCAATTTAGTGCAGCATTTAATTCCTGCGTCCAAAGCAGGAACACAGTTTAGAATGCTGCAATGTGAAGAGTGTATGGCACATCAAAATTACATTTTTTTTTAAATAATGAAAAAAGCCAAATTAATACATAGGTACTTTTGTAGGTTTTCAGTTAGAGTACAAATGTATAATCTAAAGGGTTTATTGGAGATTGAGCAATAATATATGACTCCCTCCTTCCCCAATCAATTAGTTTGGATGAAAAAGCTTGCATCATTAGGGAGGAATTAATTCATTAGCATATCTCCAATTCCAAATAAATAAATACTTTTCGAAACTAAATCACTAAAAACGAAATATTATTCTCAGACTTTCAGACCGCGCACAGATGGATACAAGTTGTTGCATACAGATTGAACAGAAAAGCAGAGAGAGTGCTTTCGTGCGTAATTGCTGGGAGAATCAAAGGTCACGACCGAACACAATTCACAGTCGCTGCACAATTCTGGCATTTAGGGCTCAGTGTGCTCCGGTGCGCATCTGTAGCTTCCAGTGCACCTGTTAACAGTGAGCCACAACTCAGCGACACGACAGAGCGCAAAGTCTCCGCTCTGTGCGTCACGGAGTTTCTCAAAATCCCCCTACTCTTCATGTGGATTGTGAAAAACGAAGAGACAAATAAATCACGGTTACTCACGCTGCTGTTTTGCCCTGACCAGTACACCACGGCGTGGTTGTGCGCAGAGTCCCCCGTCAGAGAGAAAGTGCTGCTGATGATCTTGGGCTCATCCTGCCGGTTATTCCCTCTCCCTTCCTGCCTGTTCCATCTGAAATCGGACTTCACTTGCTTGTGTCCGTCAAACAACGAGCCCCGGTTCTCCGGAGCTCCGGCATCCACGCCGGCCCGCCCGCTCTCACTGAACTCGGCAAACTCAGGACCGCTTCTCTTCGCTCTCCGGAGCGCGACATCCTCACCCTTCTGGGGCTCCCCTGCCTTATCACTGCCGCTGTGACTTTCTTCATTGGACCCTGGTTCTGTTGTACTAACTCCATCCACATCTTGAGGGGGGACAACCTCGACAGAAACGCCTGTCTCCTGCTCGTCGTCCACTCCAGTATTTTGGTCGAGTTCCTTAAACTCTACTCGGATGTTTTTTATGACCGGCTCCTCGGTCGGGTCAGTGCGCATCCCCAGCTGTAATTCCTCCCGGTGAAGTTGCACTGGCACCGTGCAAGATGCGCAAGTTATCCTCGCCTGGGCATTTTGGAGGGTATGCGCGGCTATCATCACCCAGATACCCAGAGATAAGTGCAAGCCTGGGAAGAAGCCAGCGTCAGTCCCCATCGCTGACAGTGATTTGGGGGGGTGAAGCACCGTTGGATACCTTATCCTAACACCTAAGTCGCTTCTCTCAGGTCGATAGGAAATAAATGCCGCCTCGGTTATCCGTCTGCTTGTTTGGGGAGCGAGAAAAAGTGCTCTTCAGCGAAACTGTTCACGTCCAAGTATCTTTGGTCGGGAAAGCCACCACACAGGAGGGAGGAGCTGTAACACAGCCAGCTGAGGAGTGTGCGCCCGGAAGAGACAGTTAGAGAGAGCAAGAGAGAGCAAGAGAGGGGGGGGGGGGGGAGAGAGAGCAAGAGAGGAGGGGGGGTTTATATAAGAGGCTCTAGTATCTGAAGCGATAGAGAGATAGAGAGATCTCTTGGTAATCTATGTATCTTTATCTCTTCTCGTCCTCTCTTCTCTCTGCTCTCTCTTCATCTCGTCTCTCTCTCTCTCTCCGCTCTCTCTCACTCTCTGCTCTCTCTCTCTCTCATCTCTCTCTCTCCTCTCTCTCTCTCTCTCTCTACTCTCTCTAGCATCTTCATTTTTCCTTTGGTGCTGAGTCTTCCCATATTGTTCCTTGTGCAAAATAATCCTCACATTACATTTTTCTGTTTGCAGTTTTCTAATATTACATTTTCATTAAAGTAGCAGTGTCAATTACAATGACTCAATGAATAAACAAATACATTAGTAACACAAAGGTCATATAATATGCAGTGCGATTTTGTGATTTTGCAGAAATTGCTCTCCTCTATTGTACCGTAGCAGTATTTACTTTGGTGGCACTCTACAAACAATTGTTGACTTGCGTTTAAAACGAATTATATCCTACATGCTTTATTTATTTATAATTACTTAGTATTTACATAGAACGCAGTGTTTCGGTAAGCCCATTCTATTAGTTATAAAATGCTGACTTTTTTAAATGCCTGGCCGTGTCAGCTTTGGTAATATACTTATGGTTTAAGACTTACCCAGAACCACAACATTTAAAAAAAGATATTGATATATGGTCAAACTAATGGTGTAATTCGACTGGCAGATAATGATAATAATAACAACAACAACAACAACAACAGTAATAATAATATAAGAGTCCTCATTCAAGCTCTACTATACAGAAAACAACTAAATAAACTTATTTTCCAAATGTAAGTTGATCGATACTCATACTGTATATGAAATCGATGTAACACTACATTTATTCATCATTCACTTTTTATTTATTCAGGTTGATCAACTTCAGATATATATGTTTAATTAATGGATCACCCTTTGCTACAACAAAACAACACCAAGAGCCTTTTTTTACAGCTTCAACTAGTACATTTTTGTGAAATAGTTGTTTTATTGTAGTAATTTACAAAGTGCCTTGTAAAATAATTAGCTTTCAATATTAATGATCAAAATATAGGCAACAGCATTGATTTTTGCTCCTTTTTAAATAAGTCAGAATAAGCAAGCTAGCCCGCAAGCTAGCTGTGATTAGCATTTTAGACCGGACTGGATATAGGCTAAATGCTTCCTGTCATTAAAGATGAACAACTAACTAATTTACAACATATTAAATGGATATACTTAGTTTGAGTTGGGGCAGCAGATATTCATTAGGGCTGTCAGCGTTAAGGCATTAACGCTCACAATTCATCTGAAAAAGAAACAAAACTTTATCACATTACCAAATTGAACCAAACTTCCCCCTGTAGGACAGATTTCTGCCATGAATCACATGTTAGTGAAAGCACAAATAAAGCAGGGAATCGGCACAAGCTACATATAATGCACTGACCCCTGGCCGTAAGAACCACCTGTGCGTTAGCCAGTTTCTGGAAGATAGCGGACAGGGTCATTGCTCACAATATGATAGCGGAAGTAAGAATACTTCCATCCAAGCATTTGCCATCTGTTGCGCACAATATACAGAGGGGAATCCCAGCGGCTCTCTGTGAAAGCGGCTTTTTCAATGCTATGCTAAGTGTCAGAAAATTGTCTGACAGAAATCATGTTGTAATAAAGTAAAAAAAAACTTGGATTTCTCTTACCCGTTTGCATTGAATATTTATCACAACCTTTTAGTATTTGTGATTTCTCCCCCCAAAAGACAAGTAAATACTGGTATTTTAAACTTGTAATTATTAATAATTTATCAAACATTATTATTGTGATGTGAAATAATATGATACACTGTTTTCATTTAATGACACCGCTAATATTTATTGGATAGAAAACCTGTCTGTAAGAACTTGGCTTGGGAACTGAAGGGTCGCCGGATCAAGTCCCGATCAGACAAAAAAATAAATGTGTGGACTGGTTGCTGGAAAGTTGCCAGTTCACTCTGCTCCTTGAGCAAGGCACTGAACAACCAACTGCTCTCTGGTCCCGAACGGCAATGTGTTGCTTTTGTTGTTGTGGTATGTTGACACTTATGTAAATCTCTCACACCAATCTCTAACACTCGGTCAGTCTGATGGTGTGAGTAAACGGAAAATAACTGGCGCACGCGGAGTCGCACGGAGGAGTGGGGCCACTGGGGGAGGGTATTGGGGGGGGCACTCACTGATGGATTGAAAGGAATTGGCAGGGAGTTGCACCACTCCCCGGGGGAATAAGCAGCGCCTAGAGGCATTTGATAGAGGCAGTGCTGGTGCTGCCTCACTTCAAGGACTTAAGAGTGCGGATGACTTGGTGATATAAAAGCAGGAAACATGTGAATATATGTGTGTGTTGATGGTGTGTGAGAGTGAGAAAAACAGCAATAGAACGTGCCTATGTGTGTATGAGTGAACGGCTATGCTTAAGTGCAGCAGGGTTATTCATTAGTGATGTAGCATGTTGGGCCATTGTCTGTCAACTTGAATGCCGAGAAATGTCCCATAATGGGTCTGAATTTCAACAAATGTCCAAACAGAGCGTGACTAGATTAGATTAGATAAGAAAACATTTTTTTCCATAACATTACATGGAATGGAATGGTTTCTTCCACATTCTGGCAGCAGAGTCTGTGATTTAAGGGAAGAGGACAGAGTTATTTTAATATTTCCATGTTTAGATTGGCCCAGCAAAGGACATTACTAACTTTTTGTACCCATTTTTCCTGGCCTGTGGGATGTTAACCCTTTTGCCGGTCGATAAGCTGTTGTGATGAGTTAAGGGGGTGGGGGTGGAGGGTCATTATAGATCTAGGTTTACTTTATAGTTATGGCCCATTTCTATAGGTTCTGGAGCATGCTGCGATTGTTAATGGCCAATGACGATAGCTTAGTTTACCACCTTTTTCACTGAAAGGTCCCGATACTTGGAGACAACTGCTGGTTATGAAACATTGCAAATAGTGTTGTGCAGTGATGCACATTTTTATTAGGCCTACCCGGAAGTTAGCATCGCAAGGTGTCCCTCGATAAATGTTTTCATTGGATTTTGGTATATTGCAGATAATATGCTCTGTGGCCAACACACGTTTATGATACTTAACACATTTTGCTTAACACTCCTTTAACACATTATATTAACACAGCGTAAATGCAATCGGCAGAAGTAAAGGCTATTAACAACTTATATCACGGCTGCATGACCTCACATCACCACCGCTAAGCTGAAGGCGCACTCTTGTTAGGGTGATGTTTAATCATTTGTTTACTCACTTGTTAGCAACCCTCTTGATAACACACATATTGATAACAAAGCAAGAAATTCACAAGTGTGGTATTTACCGACGTATTTTAAGTTGTAGAAAAAAAGTGTTAAAATTAGGGCTGTCAAGTTAACGCATTAATAATGCGTTAACGCATGTGTATTTTTTGTCCTCGGCCGCCCCGTAGTTTCAGAGCGCATCGAGTTTAAAATACCATCTACAAGCTGATGCTGACAGCCCCGCTCCTGCCGCCCGCTTGTGGCAGACCACACTTCCACGCTCCCCGGCAGGCCCGGACTGGCCATCGGGAGGACCGGGAGGGTGTGTGTATGTGTGGAGCGAGCGAGGCACACCTTACGTGTTGTTGTTGTTGTTGTTGTTGTTAGCATCTGGTGCTAGCTAGCTGCGCTAACGGATATAAGGAGCTGTTTCAATGAAAACAGAGGAGCGACATTTCGCCGACAACTGCGCCGAGCACTTGACTTAATGCAGGTAGCCAGACAGTGGGACATTGTACGAAAAGTCAGCACACTCAGCACGGATAGTGCGCGCAACATGATTGCAGCGTCCAGGCAGCTCCCGTTCGAGCATATATGTCTTGAGCTGCACATAGCTCCAACGATCCATCACAGTGTCTCCACACACACACGCACACGCACACGCACACGCACACGCACACACACACACAGTATGTATTATTGTATGAGAGAGGTTCCAGGTTGAATTGAGGCGAATATTTGTAATGTTCAGAGGTTGTTGTGTTTAATATTCATGAGAATATTTGTCATTGTTCAAATGATAATAAACAAACATATAAAGCATATTTGTCCACTCATATGTTGATAAGAGTATTAAACACTTGAAAAATATCCCTCTAAGGTACATTTAGAACAGTACATTCTTTGCGTACCTTTATTGTGTGTGTGTGTGTGTGTGTGTGTGTGTGTGTGTGTGTGTGTGTGTGTGTTTATTTATATTGTGTATTTTTCAGATAATCCATTGATGTATGTATATTTTCTACTGTTGATTGGTATATATTTACTGTTTGTTTATTTGTATATCTTTGTATAATATTTTTTACTTTTGAGATACCTTTTAACGTGCTGCTATGAAAAGCCCATTTTTGGATGAATAAAGTTCATTTTATTACATCTAATTTAATCTCATCTAATCTACTTGGGAGTGTAATTGAGGATTAATAAATGCGTCTGGTAGGCAGAATTGTCACCTTCGGATAAAGCTACCTAATTCTAGTCACAGTAAGGAACTATAAGGAAGTCGGATCAACACGGAGACAGAGACTGTGGACTGAATTATTTCAGAGGGAGACATATAATGAGATTTTAATGAAAGTGAATGAAAGTTATCATCTCGTGTGATCATG